CTTTCTCCTCCCAGCTTTGCAATCTGACCTCCTGCAAGCTGGAGGAAATCACCTGAAGAAATGCCAGAGTAGGGATTCCAGGTGCCTCTCCCCTTTCTTTCAGTCTAAGGACAAAAGGTAAGAGACAGGCACTTGACTCCTCCTTCAGCAGTTCCACCAGCTCACACGTCTCATTCATGTTTATCTCTGAATGGTCCACCCAATGCTCATGCTCCTATTCTAGAGATGAGAACACTGAGGCTCTGAAATGCAAGGAAACTTGCTCATGGTCAAGGACAAGAGCAGCAGGAGTTGTCAGTGGATGACAAGTGGAGAAGAGCTGCTTGATCTGCAGGTGATAATGCAGAGCTCCAGAGAGAGGATGCAGAACCAGAGTCACAAGTTTTCTGCTGCTTTCTAGACTGGGTCATTTTGAGCGCATTGTTTCAGGGCAGTGCCATGTCCTGCTGGTGTGGTATCACCAGCTGCAAGGCCTCATCTGGGGCCCCAGGTCAGGGCTGGGTCTCTTGGGGCCATTCGGTGATGCATGGGGATGTGGCCCTATCAATGGACTGAGCCAAAGAAGTGGGTGCCCAGCTGGGGGCAGGGGAAGGCAAAGAACTTGGCCATGGAGCTCCCGACGGGGAGCACACAGCCCCGAAATGATGCCCTGGTGCCTTCAACTGCACAAGGTCGTTCCTGCAAGAGGACTTAAGGGTGACCCCTAATAGCAGGGATGACCTTTAACAGCAAGACAACCCTAATAGCAAGGGTGATCTTTAACAGCAGGAGACCCTAAAGACCACCAGGACTCTCCAGCTCTCGCCTGCTCTCAGGCTCTGACAAATGATCTGCTGTAACACAAATGACCTAGACAGACACCGGCATCCCTAGCTATGGACAGCAGTTGCTCTTGGCTTCTTGGGGAGAGACCCAGTCTGGCTGGACTCCAGCAGGGTCCCCTGCTCCCTTTTGCTCTCTAGCTTCCCCCTGCCCCACTCTGTTGCTTCTTGTACTGGGGAAATAAGCTAGGTGCTGGCTGCTCAGGGGATAGTCAAAAGGTGCTGAAGCATTGGTGGCACTGAACTGGTCAGGGAAGGGGTTGGGTGGCTGAAGCTCATCCTGGCCCTGCACCAGGAGAGGGGAGCCTTCCAATCAGCTACCAGTTGACAGCCAACGCAGAGAGAGGCTCTAGGGTTAGTGACTCCATGTACACAAACACCTCCCGGTGGGACCCGTGCCAGGGAGGTCTGGTGTGACACTACAGTTATCCAGAGGCACACAGTCAAGCGCACATGGCCACAGTAAGATGGCCATTGTCAGCAAACCAGCCAGGCAGGAGGTCCCACGCGTGCCCACAGATGCACACAGTCCACAGGTCACACTCACATCCTGAGAGTTTGGCCCCCGAGTGCTCAAACAGGTGGATCCCCCGGGCTTACACTGCCACGGACAGTCACACACATAACCATGGGGTGTAACACTGACACACTCGTGCACAGCCACACACACTGCATGCACACAGAGAGAGACACGCCTTCAGTCTCGAGTCCCACTCGCAGTTCTCACGTGCAGCCCCTCCCACCCCACTGGTACACACACACACACACACACACACACACACACACACACAAGTCCAAACATCCTCCACCCCTCTTGACACAAGTCTGTCCTGTTGCAAGGGTCTCAGGCACTCCAGGGTGGTGGGAGGGGGCCCAGGGAAGGACCCGCTGTAGGGGGTAATGGTCGGCTTGAGACCCCCTACATCATGTGGCTGCTGTGAAGATTAACTGGATCCAAAGTATCCACCCCATAGTCTGGGGTCTGCATGGATGTAACAAATGCCAGTGGAGTTGAAAGGGAGGGGAGCCCTGTGGTTTCTGAGAGCAAAGCCAGAGTCTCGCAGCCTTGGGCCTGAGTGGCATCCAGTTAATGAGCTTGCCGGTCGACTCAGGGCTCATTCATACTGCTTTGGGGTTCCCACCTCATTGCCCTAAGTCTTTAGCTCAAATACCAGCTTCCTTCCCTTCACTCACCTTGCCTGGCACACAGTGTGAGCACCATAAATCTTCCTCTGAGCGGCCTAGTGAGACTGTCCTCTAGCACTCATGGCTTAGGAGGGGACACTGCCCAGGTTCCCCTGTAGGGTGCTGGTGGCATTTGGGTGTGACTTCTCCTTGTTTGAGGAATGGAGGGCTGTCCTCTACAGAGCATGCACATGCCTGCCCCAGTCCCAAGTGCCATAAGGCCTCAAACACAGAGGCAATCAGAGGTGGTCCCACACTTTCCCTTGACAGCAGGCAGGAGAGTCACCGAATAGTCTTAACCCCAGCTCCTCATTTACATGTGGGGAAACTGAGGCCTGGAAGGAACACACAGCAGGTCAACAGCATCTTAGCCACCACTACCCTTGGAGCCTCTCTCCCTAGGCTGGGGCCACAGATGGGGAAAAATCAGAATGCACTGGCAGGTGTCAGCTTGCAGCATGATCCAGAAGTTAATAACCAAAATCAGATGTCCTTCATTTGATTTGGCAGCACAGTGAACAACTTCAGGCTTCCAGGTGCTAGATTGTGTGGACATGATCGCTAGGATGAATTTTATGGCTAAAATTTAAAAATATCATTCATAAACACCCCCCACCTTTCTGCTGAGGGAGTAATTCCATATCTTTCCTCTGCACATAAATAGTAATATGTGTGTGCAAAAAGTGTTTTTATGCTATAGCTACACCCGCATCCAATATAGATAGAGGCATATGGCTTTTACAACCTGCTTTGTCTTTTCTGAGGACGAACATTTTGCTTCTAAGATGAGCCTTTGTAAGTTTTTGCAAACAGCGGGTCCTTAGCTTTGTCACGTAACTTCCTCTCTCTAAGTTCTGTTTCTCTCACCTGTGAAACCAAAGTTTGCAGAAATCTTGAAGAGCTTTCGAGAAACCTGACTGTGCTGATGTCTAAAGTGTTTGCCAGAGTGGCTGGCATGTAGTAAGGACTTAAGAGTGTCACCTACTCTGCATTCTTTGTTTTAATCCACTCGGTGTCAATAATGCCCCTTGTTTTAGGTGATGATTGGCTTCTGGGAAGGTACATCCAACTCAGGACCTAGGAATTAACTGAGCCTGGTTTTAAATATGCATCATGAGCTTTTTAATAAATTTGACAGGGGCCACTTGTTATTTTTCATTTGTATTTGCTACATAAAAACACATGCTCATTGTAAAAAGAAGTAGAAAGAAGTTGTATAAAAAGATGGAGAGAAAATTTACAATCCTACTTTATCAGTCAAAGTTCTCCGGGGAAACAAAACCATTAGCAATATGGATACACATACATATTTAGAGATTTATTTTTAAGGAACTGGCTTCCATAACTGTGGGAGCCAGCAAGTCCAAAAATGGTAGAGCAGACCAGCAGTCTGGAAACTCAGGCAGGAGTTAATGCTGTGGTCTTGAAACACAATTCGTTTTTCACCAGGAAGCCTCAGCTTCTGTTCTTAAGGCCATCAACTGATTAAATAAGGCTTCCCCACTCATCAAGAGTAATTTTCCTTACTTATAGTCAAATAATTGTAGGTGTTGATCATATATATAAAATACTATCATAGCAAAACTAGATTAATCTGTGACTGAACAACTGGATGCCATATGCTAGCCATAGTGACAGAAGTGATCCATTATACTGACTATCCAGAAACACCATGGCATTAACATGTTATTTGCCTCTCCAGAGGTTTCTATCACTAGGTGATTTTTATTTTTATTTTATTTATTTTTGGTATGAGGGATTGAAATCAGGATCTTGTGCTTACGAGGCAGGCACAGTGCCACTGAACTAAATCCCCAGCCCACTAGGTAATTTTTAAAGAAAGTTGTTATTTTATGATAGGTAGAACTTTATATTCTTGGGTTTTATTTAACATTGTATCTTAAACATATCTTCATCTGGCTAAAATAAGCCTTAACAACTTTACTTTCAGTGGAGGCACAGAATTCCATTTGTGAGGTGATCACTCCGTACTTAGTTTGGCCAGTCCTTCATTGTTGGACACCTACATTGTTTCCAGCCTTTCACTTGGTAATTTCAAAGAAAGCTGTGGTGAACAGCCTTCTTGATGCGGCTTTGTGCGCATCCCCAGTGGACACCCTCCCAGTCCCTTACCGGCTATGGGCGTCCACCCAGGACCCTTACTTTGGTGACTACCTGTGACAACGGGAGGAGACAGTGCTGAGGCACTCCCTGCCCTCCCGCACTACCCGTGGGGCCAGGCTGCAGGTGCTGCAGCTGAGGTTGTTCCCCCTCGTTGAGAGCAGCCTCCAATAAAACACTCCTCTCAGACTCTGCCTCCGAGGAAGCAGCTAAGCAGCATCTCCGGCTGTTTTCTTAAGGGTGACTCCTACTGAAGAAAGCAGTGGCTTCCACATTTCCCACTGTGCTGCTGGGTGTTGTCCTGCAGGGAGTCCCCACGCTCTGCCATCACTCACAGCCTGGAAGGGCTGGCTCCCGTGGAGTCTCCCCCTGAGCCCAGGATGAGGGGTGGGGAGAGAGACCCTGGTACTGGAAAGCAAGGACCAGAAATTCCTGGGCCTTTTGCTTTTCTTAATTCTCAAATGCTTGTCCATCTCCTGGGGAGACTGAAAACCCCCTGTGGAATCTATCATTTCTGAATGGGCTTTTCCCCAACATTGACAATGAGGAAGTGAGGCGCAGGATTGCTGCCAATTTTAGGAAAGGGGATAGTGTGACCCAGGGTCATCTCAGCGACCCGGAATGTTGACAGAGGTGCCTTGGTTCAGGAGAACGGTCCTTGAATTATTGAGCTCATTGGCTATGAACAGACCTACTCAAGAACAGAAAATGTGGCTGCCTTGTCTGTCTCTGGTTTAGCTTGCTGGGTGACCTTGGGGAAGACTCTCATCTTCTCTGGGCTTCAACTTCCCACTGCTTCCTTCCAAAGTACTTCTCCCATGTAGATCTGACTCCTTCTACCGCTGACTGTTCTTTCTCCTTCTGGCTCTTCAGATGGAAGTGCAGTATTCCGAGGCTGCTTCCGCAGGCCCGGTAACCTCTCCCTGGCCTTGCCTGTGTCTGCTGCCATGCCCAACATGTCTGTGGACAAGTGTGTAGACTTCTGCACTGAGAAGGTGAGCACAGGGTCCTGGTCAGAGCCCTTGGGTGGGGGAGGCTGAAGGAGCAGGACGTTCTCTCAAGAAGCCAGAGTCAGGGTGGAAGAGGTCTGGACCATGGATCTGGGACCTGGGAGAGGAATGTGGTCATTTCACGGGGTTCCCAGGGGAGTGAGAGCAGATGCTGTCCCTCAGAGGGAGAGTGTGCTGATAACCCTCAGGAACGAGGGCAGGGTTTGAAGGGCATAGACACACGAGTAGGAGACTGGCAGGTCAAAGCAAGGGCAGTGCCCCCTTGGGACAACCTAAGCTCCCATCTCCAAAGGCATGCACGCAGAGGCAGGGCAGGGCTGGCATCCAGAACTCAGGGCAATGATGGCAGCTGGATTGGACAACCCACAGATCCCTCCTCAGCTTCAGGTCTTTGATGGCTGACCACTCATCCTTCCGCCCTAGCCAGACTAACGGATCAAGGGCAGAAGCTCTCCTTACACATTTTGTGCTGCCCCAGTGCCTGGTCCGGAGCTGGGCACATAACTGGCCATCAGTGATGTCTGAGGAGCTCCAGCCTTCCTTTACAAGGAGCCAATTACATGTGTGTGCAGAGAAGAACCATCCCTCCTCTCCCTCCTAAAGGTTCTTCCATTCATTTGCTCTCAAATATTGAAAGAGGACCTACTGTGTGCCAGGCGCCATGCTGAGTGCTGAGGAAGTGAGTTGACAAGCCCCACTGTCCATCCTCGAGGCTGCTGCTATTTACTGAGGACCCGAGCCCTCCTCTGGGGGACTCAGACCTCCCCCAAACTCCTGGCCCCACTCTGCTCTGCCTCATCCTACTGGGCTGTTTCTCTCCATGGTTCCTCATGCCCGAAGCCTCTTTCAGGAGGGCAGAGAGGCTGCTGTGTGCTCAGGACACCTTCCCTGAAACCACTGTGGGGCACGGTCTTCAGACCAACCTATGAGACTGAGATTTTCAGCCTCTTTAGGCTCAGGCATGGAGTTCCTTGCCCAAGCCCACAGCTCAAATGAGTGTGGAGCTGGGGTTGGCACTAGGGGCTGACTCTAAACCTATGTTACCCTGGAGACCCCATGGACGGGCTTTAAGAGCCATTCCAGTGTCTGGGATGCTTCTGGTCTCCAGGCACTCCCTATGCCCTAAGAGGCATCCAGGAAGGTGAGGGGTGAAGCCCACGAGACCACAGGAGGCTTAACCTCACTTGGACTGGCCTTCTCTCTGGGCAGGAAACCCCTGCCTGCAAGGCCTTCCCTCCAGGCAACTTTCCTTTCTTCCTGGGCACCTGGAGGAGCCTACAGATCAGCCAGAGTGGGGGAGACCCCACGCAGAAGACAGTGCAGCCACGTGGCAAGCCAGCAGGACCAGTGGCAGCCTCTCCACAAGCCTCCCTCCTCCTGTCTTCTTAGCTCTCCTTGAGGTCCAAAGAGAAAACCTGAGGGGATCAGATGGGCAGTGATACAGTCGCTGCTGCCAAGTGACACAGTTCTAGTGTGACCGAGGAGGCTCCAGTGTGTGTCACTAGCTAGAAAATGTCATCACTCATGGCCCAAGTGGACCTGCCTGCATATCAGCACCTCTCCCTCTGCTCTTCAGCCAGAGACTGCAGCTCCTATTTAGTATCTGTTAGAAAGAAGTCAAACCTACGGGACAGCTCGCTGGATGCAGCCACTTGGGTGGGACTTTGGTGTTGTACTGGGCTATTCCTGGACCAGCTCCTGGGGGAATGCCAGGCTGTCGGTCTGGTTTGAGAGCACAGTGGACACGGGTGGCCACTTGCCCTCCAAATGTCAGGTACCCCCTGCTCCTACTCTGCTGTAAAGCAATCAGAAGAGCTCTTTCAACAGAGCCTTTGGAGAAGCATCAGGTCAGCATCCTTTGTGGCTCAACAGGACAGATCCAGATGGTCTTCCCCAAAGTGCAGCCTGCGTATCGCCATCAGAGCAAGGGGGTGTTTACGGTGGCAGCTGCACGACACAGAGAGAAGCATTTCTTTCCCAGTTCTCTTTCAAGTCCTCCAGGAGAAAGCTGCATCTCATGGCTCAAGTGTCTTTCGTATGTCCCTTAACTAATCTCTCTTTTGCAGGGAAAATGGAGCTGACCCCAGGTTCAGCGTCTTGGCAGGCGAGAGTGCCTAGGTAGAATGTAATTACAGTCACTCCTCCATATCCCAGGGACCTGCGTTCCGGGATGCCTTGCAGACACCAAAGTTCAAGGATGCTCAAGTCCTTTATATAAAGTGGCATAGTACACAATCCTCCTGTATACTTAAATCATCCTTAGATGATTTTTAATACCCAGTGCAAACAGTATTGGGTGCAAACAGTTGCTGAACTCTATTGTTTAGGGAATAATGACAAAAAAAGAAGGTCTAAACATGTTCAGTACAGATGCATATTTTCCAAATATTTTCAATCCATGGTTGGTTGGATCTGTGGGTGTGGAGCCTGCAGATTGTTTTGTTTCCATGGTATTTGGTGTTTGCATTTATAGTATGGAAACATGCATAAGAGCTACTTCCACAAGTACTTCCTGTAGTAATTAGCGATGTAAAATTTCCTTTGAAATTTAAAATTTAAAAATTGAGTTGACTTAAGCTAGGTGTAGTGGAACAGGCCTGTAATCTCAGCACTCTTCCAGGCTGAGGCAGGAGGATTACAAATTCCAAGCCCAGCCTGGGCAAGTTAGCAACTTAACAAGACCCTGTCCTAAAAGTAAATTTTTTTTTTTTAAAAAGAGCTGACTTCAAAGAATCAGATAAGTAAGGCTCAGAGGTGCACAGATAGAACAGAATCACAAAGGCAGGGCTCACTGACGAAGTTTGGAGACTCGGATTCAGAGAGTGATGAGGGAGGGGATGGTCAGTTGCAGGTCCTGCCCCCGTGCACAGTCCAGGGCTGTGCAGGGATGGTAACTCTCTTCCTCTCCCTCCCCACTCCATCCCCAGGAGTACCCACTGGCGGCTCTCGCAGGCACCGCCTGCCACTGTGGGTTTCCCACCACACGATTTCCCCTCCACGAGAGAGAGGATGAGCAGCTCTGCGCCCAGAAGTGCAGCGCAGAGGAGTTTGAGAGCTGCGGGACCCCCAGCTACTTCATTGTGTATCAGACGCAGGTTCAAGGTGAGCCAAGTGAGCCTCACCCCCCAGCCCCGGGTGCTCTCCCAGGGGCCTCCCTGCCCTATGTGTCCTGGCCATGGGGGCCAGAGGACAGGGCTGGGAACTTGGCTAGGCTTAAGTAGTGGGAGAAAATAGAGGAAGTGCTTGGGGAGATTCTAAGCTTCTCTCTGACCACCATCGCTAGGACCTTTGCCGGTTCTTTTCTAATAGTAGAGGCAATGAGATTGAGTGGGGAGAGAGACCCGGCTCTCCCACTGGTTCCCAGACAGACCTGTGGTCGAGGGCAGCTCATTACCTCTCCAGGCCTCAGGTGGGGGACTCGCCTGAAGTCATATTGTTGAGAAAACCTTTCTCCTGACTGAAGCATCATGATGGTGGTTGGCACTTGGGTGGGGGTGCAGGCGTTGCTCCCTGGGAGCCTCGGCCCCACAGAAGCCCCCGAAGGGTCACCCCAGTGTCTGAATGTACTGACTGTCCACTCTGAACCACTCTTCGTGCCAAGCTTCATCTCATCTATGGATGTGAAGTCCACAGGAAGCTGATGGTCTAGGCAGTATCATCATCATCTCCATTTTACACATGAGCGAACCAAGACCAGGGGGTTCAGAACTGGCCACAGTTACTCTTTCATGAATGCAGTTTGCTCTCAGGTCTCTGACTCCAAACTCCCTACTAGAAACCTCTGCCCACGGTATGAAGAATAACCCCACACCCTCTGAAGCCTGGACAGCCAACAACACATTTTTGAGCCAAACGTTGTTCCTTCCCATCTTCCTGTCACCAGGCCACCATGTACAGATGGGCAGGTTGGGCATCATACAGGAAAATGATGCCCGGAAGCCAGCACATGCCATCACACCATGCATTCCAGATGGCAGCACATCTGCCCAGAGGAAAAGGCATTTGCCCTTTTTTGATTTCCACAAAAGTGCTGCCGGAGCTCATGGCAGCCCCACTGACGCCTAGCCCCTGTTTGGCATAATAGGTACTGGTGGTGGCCGGCCATGGCCGCTTCCAGGCCAGCTAACATCTTGCTGACGGCCTACTGAGCAAGTGTCTCTCTTGGCCCCGTTTATGCTCCAGCGAGGAGGACTGAGTGTTGTTAGTTTTCGGGGAAGTGTCAGTTCATCTGGGCAGAACCGTGGGGCCTCAGCCAGAAGGGGAGAGTTACACATTAATTATGCTGTGACCATGAGTGGCTCTGAGGCGGCCTGGATAGATGCTGGAGTGTTTTCAACAGTAGATAAACAGTCTCAATTGATGAGTTTGCTCATTCCCAGTGCCCTGCCCTAGGCCATCACTGCTCCTCAATTTTTCCATGTCACTATGGCTGTTTCCATGTCACCTTGGCACACACAAAGAAGGTTTGAGCATCATGTGGTTTATCATGCTGCCAAGAACCTGGTCTACCTGGGACCCTGGCTGCCATTTATGGAGAACCTACTGCATGCTAACTCCTGGTCTTCCTGAGGGGAACTAAATAATTATTAGACATTTATTGTGTACCAAGCATTGTTGAAGCCCTTTGCCTAGCTATCCTCATCTGATCTTCTCAATGATCCAAAGACATAGGTGCTGCGATTACCATTTTCCAAGTGAAGCGACTCAACACCCAGAGAGTGAGGAGCTTGGCCAGAGCTCAGACAGGGCAGAGTTGAGATTGAAACCCAGGCAAATTCAAGCCCAGGTCTCAAGACTGTGTTTTTATCCACAGCTTCTCAACAGACATTGTGAATACCTCACATTCACTATGCTATTTAATGCTGAGGTTCAGTAGCTCTGTTTTACAAGTGAAGGAACTAAGACTGGAGAGGTGAAGAACATTGTTCAGTGTCACTCAGGTCCAGGATGGAAAACCAGGAGTCTGATTTGAAAGCACTTAGAATATGACCAGCAGCCTTTGCTGTGATTTCTGGGGCTTAAGACCCAAATAAACTTTCTTTTTAGCACTGAGAACAACAGCCTGTACCTCAGCATTGTTGTTGTTCTCCCAGGAATTACTGGAATGGAGAATTCTGTTTTCAGGGGAAATTTATAAGCTGGTTCCCCACCCCCACCCCCAGCCCTTCTTTATGAGAAAATGTCAAACCTAAGACAAATCAAGGCTTACACAAGGAACACCCATATGCTCTTTCATCGGTTTTATATTTGTTAACTTTTTGCCACATTGTTTGATTGTACATCTGTACATTTCTCCATCCCTTGATTCTTATTTCTGATGCGTTTTGAATTTGCAAACACCACTGTACTTCAGTAATTGAGTGCTTGCTTGGGACTTTTTGAAGTCACATTTCTATGGAGTGAATCGCACAAATTTTAAGTGTACTAGTTAATGACCACTTGGCAATCCACACCCCTATCGAAATATAGTAGAACATGGTCATGTTCTAGATAAAGTGCCTGCAGCTAGGATTCCCCTTTTGGTGTGTTTCTGTGAAACCACTCACAGATGCCACACAGACATTATTTGGTCAGTTCTCTCCTGAATCCACCCCCTTGAGACCAGAGTCAACACACTGCGAGAAGAGAATTGAACCTCTGGCCGGTAGTGACAAGAGCTACAGCTGGTGGGTGGTGGAGGCTCCACAGTGTGTGAGCCCTGTACTGAGGTGAGGTGCGAAGTGCACTCTCCAAGTCAAGCCTCCTGACACCCTCAGGCATTCACTGTTACATAATAGTCCCATTTTACAGATGAGGAAATCCAGGCTCAGATAAATCGTTTCAAGGTCACTCAGCAAATAAATAGCAGAATTGTCACCTAAATCTGGAATGTCAGACTTCTCCTTCAAAGGACTGTTGTGGAAAATCAGCGAGGCTCATGGTAGGATTTTTCAATAAGTGGCAGCTAAGGCAGAATGGGAAGGAACTAGGGTGGCACCTTGGGAAGGAACGGTCAGAGGGGCTGAGTGGTCTGAGGAGAGCATGGGCAGCACTGAGCACTGGGCAGTCCCTGGGGACCTTGGCAAGAGCTGCCACTGGACAGTGATCACAGAGGGGCAGGTGCAGGGCCGAGGAGCACATGGAAGGGAGGATGCGAAGTGGGTCGCATGCACAGCTCCATCGGATGTGCAGCTGCTACGCAGTGGAGGAGAGTAGATGGCAGTTGCCGGAGGAGAAGGTCTAAATGCTGGAGCTGCTTCATGTTTGAACACTAATGATACTGAGCCAGCTGAAAGGGAGAAGAAGGGATGATGGTGACAGATAGAGCACGAAGCTGAGGGAAGAGGGCAGAAATGCAATGCCCACCAGGAGCAGAGGACACCTGCTTAGCCAGAAGTGGGAGGGAGGAGGAGAGGCCAGGGGAGGTGAGGACGTTTGCCCACCTTCCCTTCTGGTAGGTGGTGGGGAAGGACTGAGTTCACCTGCCCACGTGCAGAAGGCAGGAGGAGCCCCGGGCTGCTGCAAGCCTGCATCTGGGAGCCTCTCGTCTTCCTTCTCTCTTCCAGAGCCCCGATGCTGGGCTTTCTCTCAGCTTCCCTCATAGCTGCAGGGACCCAAGGAAATCATAGATGGTTCTTGGCTCCCATGGGGGTTGCAGTGGAGACAGCCAGCAGGCATTTTTCAGGAATTTCAACAGTAGTGGCACCCTGAGGTCTCAGCAAAGCCGGAGAATCAAGAATATCAGAATGGTACTCACCCAACACATTTCACAGATTAGGAAACTGAGGGCTAGGGAAAAATAACAACTACTCCTTTGGAGCATGTCAGAGTATTACATATTACATGCATTATTTCATTTAATCCTTGCAAAAATTTCTGCAAAGTAGATTTTATTGTCATCCTTCCAGCCACACACTCATTCATTGCCCATCTCTCCAGCCATCCAAAAGGCATTTATTAAGTGTCTACTGTATACCAGATATTATGGAAAGTAGCGGGGAATCAGCAAAGCACAATACAGGCAGGGTTTCTGGCAGCGTATACAGCAGTGGTGCCACTGGACTATAATGGAACCTCTAATCCCAGTACTTGAGGAGCTGAGGCAGGAGGATCACAAGTTAGAGCTCAGCCTGGGCAATTTAGTGACTTAGCAAGAATCTGTCTCAAAACAGTAAAAAATGGCTGGGATGTTGCTCAACGAAAAGCCTATGGGTTCAAATCTCCAGTACAACAGAACAACAGAGTTGGGGGGTGGGGGAGTTAGATAGGTATATAGATAGAAGATTATAATGGAGCTGAGGAATTCCTGTCACCTGGTATCTGCACTGTGCTTGTCTGTGTTTAGACACCCAAATATGACTGGGCCACAGTTATCTGCTGCACTCAGCACAGTTGCATGCCCTGCTGGTGTGTAGCCTGGGAATGACAGGCTGTACTGTGCAGCCCTAGTGTGTAGCAGGTTGTGAAAGTGCATACCGTGATGTTCGCACAATGACGAAATGATGCATTTCTCAAAAAATCATGCATTTCTAGGAAAGTAACCCTTTTGTGAAGCAACTCGTGGCAGCATTACTTGAGTTACAATTGTGGCAATGGACGTCGGGGTGATGGACATAGTAGCACAGTAATGATAGCTCAAGGAGTCAGGGAAGAGAGAAGGAAGCACTCCCTCCATGAGGGAGGACACGTTGGAAGCCAAAGCAGGCAAGAGGCAATAGCGGGCAGCAGCAGGCATGAGGTGTGACATCAGGAAGAAGCAGAGTGCAGCGAAGGAGGAAAGCAGGAGCGGGTGGCTGGAGTGGAGGGGTAGGAGGCAGCTGTGCGGGACAAGTCTGGGATATGCGAGGGCCGCCCTGCAGGCCTTGGAGGCCGAAGGAAGAACCCTGGGCCCCATCCCATGTGGTTGGACACCACCGAGGGTTTCAGTCCAGAGGAAGGGGTGCAGTGAATGTGCAAGACTCGCTCTGTTGGGGGAAACTGAGGTGGGAGAGAAGATCCATCCATCTGGCTGACTTTCACTGAGTACCTGCTGTGTGCTAAGCATTGTGCTTACCCCTTTTCATACAGGACCTTATTTAATCCTCACCCCAACCCTGTGAAGGACACATTTGCCTCATGTTCCCGATGGGGAAACCAAGGCCCACAGAAGTTCTGATCATGTGTGCTGAGTCACACAGCTGAGAAGGGGCAGCGGTGGGATGCATCCCCCGCTCCCTTCTGGACAGGCTCCAGCTGCCTGCGCCACTGATGTCTACTTGTGCCCCACCCTTTGCAGACAACCGCTGCATGGACAGAAGGTTCCTTCCAGCCAAGTCCAAGCAGCTCATTGCTCTGGCCAGCTTCCCAGGTGCCGGCAACACATGGGCCCGACACCTCATCGAGCTGGCCACTGGCTTCTACACAGGCAGCTACTACTTCGATGGTTCCCTGTACAACAAAGGTGAGGAGATGGGCAGAGGGGGAGGCTTCCTGGACTTCAAGAGGGACCCAGGGCAGGGCAGGGACTACCCTTTCCTGAGCACCTACTGTGTACCACTGAGCCTGCCAGGACCCATTTATTGAGACCTACTATGTGCTTGGGGCCTTCCCTTCTTTTATATCTGACACACATTTCTCAAGTTTTGTGTCCTGGGTACCTCACCTGGAGCCACTCAGTAATTGACATCTATCCATCACCTATCATGTCTGGTCCCTTCCCTCATTCAGTTCAACCCAAATGTCCCTTAAGCTCCTACTGTGTGCTGAGCACCTTACCACATATATTTACTGACCAGCAACTCCATGCTGTCCATAGAGGTGCACGTTCACTTTGGGAACATTGATTGGGTACCAGACTGAGTTCGCAGATGTTTCCTGAACACTGCTATGTTTGGGATGTGCTTCCTAAGGTTTGGTTTTGCTGCATGCATTCATAGAGCACCAACTGTGTGCACTTTGCAGATGTTCAGATGGCCACAGATGTCCTGGCCACTTGCTAAATGGGCCAGACGGGGCACGCTTCCCTAATCCTGCACATGAGGCCTGGGGCAGGATGATGTTGCTCTTCCCCAGACACAAAAAACAAGGCTGGAGGAGGAGAAATACTTTACCCAAAGTCACACAAACTTTTCTCAATGCAGTGATCAGGGACTGCACCGATCAGGGACTGCACCCTACTCTTTCTTGATTTCAGATTCTACATCCTTCTATCACCCAGGCAAGAAATCCCTGGGTTTCTTGCTGGGGATCCAGAAACCATGGCTGCACACTGGGCATGAAGCCCTCTCTTGGCATGGTGGGGGCATCAGGGAAGTAAGTCCTCTGCCTGTGAGGGGTTTTACACTCATGTAGGGAACAACCCTTAGCCATGGTCTTTGCGTCTACAAAGCAGCTGAGGACCACTTCCTGGCTGTGTGACCTTGGACAAGCTACTGGACCTCTCTGATCAGGCACAAATTAGAGATAACCCTATATACTTCGGTTATCACAAGGTTGATAAGTTAATATATGTAGCGTGCTTGGCACATACTAAATAGGCTTTGAGCATTAGGGGCTGGATACTGGGGACTCAGCATGCACAGGTTGGGGGCTGACAGAGTCACCCCGGAACTGTAGCCCAGAGAAAGCCAGGGGCAGGTCTCTTGGAGAAAGAAGCAGAAGGGAGGCATAGAGTGGGGGAGAAAAGTCATGAAGGGTGAAGAGGGAGAGGCCAAAGGCTGGAGTCATCAGCGGAGGAACAGGTGACCAGTGTAAAATCCCAACTTTCATGCAATTATTGATTTCTAGTTTGGGATTCAGTGGTTATTTATTGAGCACCTATGTGTGGCTGAGCGTGTTGGATGCTTGTGTAAGGATCTGAACCCAGACCTGGCTAGCAACAGTACCTGTGCTCCTGACCCAGGGCTGCACTGTCTTGATGAGAGATGCTGGGAAGAGCCGAGGCAAATTCTGGAGAGTGGCTGGGAGCAGGCTAGGAAGCATCCACAGCTCCCCACTTCCCATCTTCAGCAGGGCTCCTCATGGCATGGCCGAATGTCACAAACAGAAGGGCCTTGGGGATCACGGAGGCCAGGGGTCCAGAGCAGCTTCCTCTCATGCGTCAGCTCCATGGGGGTGCATTAGCGTGTGTGAAGATGACGCGCTAGGATGCGGGGTTACAGCTTCGGCGGTTCTGTCCTCCCTCAGAAGCAGAGTGACTTAATGTAGCACTTGTTGAAAGTGTAGAAGGGGGAACCGCGGTCTGTATGCCAAGTATTTGCTACCTCTGACCTAACGCAGTCTCTGACTTCAGAAAAAGGGAAATTAAATCTTACGGTGGAGTCAGGTGATCCAGCCTTCACTCTAAAAGCTCACTCTGATGCTTGGGCAAGATCTGCCACCTCTCTGAGCTCTGCCTTCCTCATCTATAATATGGGGAGGTCACTAAAGAGCTCAAAGCTTTTCCAAAAATGTAATAAGATAATGTTTGTGAGATAATGCATGTGAGGCTGTGGTGTAAAATATATACACGATCTTTTAAATGACCTATGACCAGTAGTGTCAGCTACTTATCAAAGTCAGAGAGGGGCTAGACTCTGACTAAACACTTGGAATCACCATAAACTTTTAAAGTCTCGACAGCTGCTCCTTACACTTTTTTTTTTTCCACCAGAATTCTGGGGCTGAGCCAGGCCTTGGTATTTTCTCACAATCTCTCCAGGGGATTCTGGTGCAAAGCCAGAGCTGAAACCCCAGCTCTAGGCTAAGAACTCAGTCTTCTTTTCCTCAGAGCTGTAATATTCCAAAACTTCATCTTTGCTCACCTCTTTTACTATCTAGTGTTACACAATAATGATGGGCCATTACTGGAGCGAGGTGCTGGTGACTCAGCTTTCCATTACTGTGAGAAATGCCACAGCAAAACACCTTAAAGAAGGAAAGCTTGATCTGGGCTCACAGTTTCAGAGGTCTCAGTCCATGGTGGGTTTGACTCCATTGTTCTCAGGCTGGTGACCAGGCAGAAATATCATGGCAGAAGGGCACAGTGGAGGAGAGCTGCTCACTCATGGCAGCTGGGAAGGGGTGGAGGATGGATAGGAGACAAGATATAGTCTCCAAGGCTTGTTCCTAAGAACCTCCTCCCTTCAACTAAGCCATCACCTTCCAATAGCCCATCAGATTAGAAACTCATCAATGGATTCATCCAGTGATGAAGTCAGAGCCCTCATGATCCGATTATTTCCCAAAAGCCACACCTCTCAACACTGCTGCCCTGGGGACCAAGCCTCCAACGGGAGCCTTTGGGAGACATTTCATCTCCAAACTGCAATAGGTGTCCGTACACTTTAAACTTGATTCTTTAAAAAACCAAGAAAGAAAGAAAGTACAAACCATCCCCGACACTACCGTCTCCAGCTGCGTCTTGTTTGTGGATGGCCCTACTGAGAAGGGCAGGTGTGTAGCCAGTCACAGGCAGCAGAGGCTTTGAGTTGCCTTTTCATTCAGGGCTTAAAAACTTTTCCTGCAGTCTGAGCGCTCACAGTTAATGCTGCACTCTCCCTGGGGCCTGGGTGGCAGTGGGTGCAGGCAGCCCCTTCAGAACTCAAAGGTCATGTGGAGGCCCCCAAGATAAACTAATATTTTGGTGACTCTTAAAAGGAATGTGACTTAAATGTGCCACATTTATGTAATGGAGTCCTACACTTGATCTTAGCCAAAAGGCCGAGAAGCGATAGGTAATGGAATCCTATGGCAAGGAAGGGTTGAGAAAGGCAGCCCTGGTGGTAGCATTCACCAACTCCGCTGTGGCCCTGATCTTGCATCTCTGGTGCCACTTGATGCCCTTCAGGGACAGCTGTGAAACCACCTATTGCTTCCTCGGGCGAGCCCATCCCCTGTGGCTTCTCAGTAGCTCCTTTCACACCCAGAACTCCCCTTTCTGTAAGAGACACTCTGCTGAATGGAATTTTCCCCGCCGCGCTGCATTTCCAGTGCTCCTTTACAGAATAACTCCTCAGGCGACCAGACTCTGGGATCTGAAGCAGATGTTTCCCAGTGTTCATAGTTTCTTTGTTTGTGTTTGTTTTTCATCTCCATAAATACTGTGCTAGGTTGACTACACCATGGACAAGGGGAAATGTGACTTTGCCCTCAGAGTGCACAGAGCTGATTTAAAGCTGTCTGACCATGATACCACGATTCTGATGATTTATTGTTCTTCTCTGAGAATCTGTGTGTTCTTCCGTGCTTTCCTGCCTGTGTCTTTCCATGACCGTGCACATAATGAAATGGATTTTAGCAAAGATAAGACAAACAGGGAAGCCCCTTTGTCCCTGTCATTCAGAGTCACCCCATATGGAATGCGTGAAATTGCACCCAGGGCTGCGATGTGGGGAAACGTTTAGGTCCCGCACACTCTCAAGCTTCTCATTGTTCTCTGGAGATGATTTTTTCCCGCAATACCGTGCATCCCATGTGCCGCCAAGGCTGAGGGAGAATATTTGATCATGGAAATAGGCCAGCAGTTACTTCGAGGCTAGTCTGATCCCTGCAACTTGATGTGGTCAGTCCCAAAACAGAGCCTGACTTGGGGAAGCTCATTCCACCCCTGGCTGGCCCCTGACTCCAGGAAGAGAACCAGGTACCACACCAGCCCTCACCTTCATCCACTTTCAAAGCCAGAGCACAAATCATTAAAAACTTCCGGAGGGAGGGGGGGACATGGGACGGGACTTCCTGAGCGAGCGGGGAGGGGGTTGATGCGGGGAGGTGGCTTCTCTGCACACAATTTCACCTTAGTCTTGCTCTGTGCTAGCAGCCCTTTTCTGAAATCTGACCGAGTCCCCCATCGACTTCTCATAATGGCCACGTGAGAAGGAGGAGGCGTCATCCCGTATTACAGGTGGGGAAACTGAGGCCCAGGGAGGTGACATAATGTCAGGATCGCTCCGCGAGCTGGAAGCTCAGTCACTATCTTGGAGACCTGCCTGATAACATTTCTCCTTGGCCCTTGAGATTCCACCCAAATGCTTTATTCTCATGAGACTGGGGGTGCAGCTCCGAAACCTGGGTGTCCTGGGTTTGTATCCTGGCTCTGCCTCTCCCTGGCTTTGTGACTGGGATGAGTTATTTGACCTCTTTGCCTCAGTTTCCTCACCTGTAACATCCTGCGTAGGAACACTGAGAAGACTGACTCGGTCCAGTCTCTGCAGAGGGCTCAGGCCAGTGACCCACGTGGCATCATCGTGTAAAAGTGCTCCTTCTTTGCCCACCTGCCCAGAAGCCCTGTGGGTCCTCAGCATCTGAAATGAAGAGCAGTCCTATCCCTACCTTGAATCTGTTTAAGGGCCGTTGGACCCTCCCAGTCGAGTACTGACCACTTCCTCAGCCTCCCCTCTTGGTTTCTGTGCCCCTCTCTCCTGTAACACATTTCTTCCCACCTGCCACAGGACTCTACACCTCTGCGCCTGCCCCCAGCCCTCCCTTCTTGTGCAAGGAAATTGTGCCTCACCCTCTCGATCTCAGCTTCAGCGCCTCTTCCCCCACCCCAGGCACCTTCCTGGTCGCTGCCTGCCTTTGACCTGGCTGGCAGCTCCAGGCTGCAGGCTAAGACCATGTGTGTCCTGTGTCTCTCACTAATTACAATCAGTGCCCTCTGCTGCCCCAGGGATGTCCTTCCCATGGTGATGGCAGAAGCAGAGGAGCCTGAGATATATTCAAACACAGGATATGTCTTGGGGCTTTGGTGGAGACCCATCTCCGCCCTCTTCCCATGTGCCAAAATAAGTGTTATGGGGCACCCATGGAGTGGACACTTAGTGGTTGTACCCAAAGAGGAACTGCCAGGTCCTTCTCCTACCACCTGGACATTAACACTTTTCTTTTACAGCATTAAGCATGACTGTGACTCTAATTCATTTGCATCATTATTCGAATAATCTGACTCTCAAAAACTGTAAGCCTCATGGATATTTTTATTTATTTTGCAGCACTGGGGATTGAACCCAGGGCCTTTGCACCAAGCTACATCTCCAGCTTTTTTCATTTATTTATTTTTTTAAATTTGGAAACAGAGACTTGTTAAATTGCTAAATTGCCCGTGCTGGGTTTGAATTTGCAATTCTCCTGCCTCAGCCTCCCATAATACTGGGATTACAAGGGATTACAAGAATGCACCACCATACCCAGCTCCTTTTTTGCAAATCACTTTTATCCTCGGCTCCTAGGGCAGTACCCAGCACACAACACAATAGGTGCTCACTAAATCCGGAGGTCAGGTGGGCTTTGTCACCCCAGCTAGCCTGCCTATTCCCTAACCTCTGGCCTGGATCGGGAAGGGTTCAAAGGTGAGCGGGACCACTGGCGCAGCGGGCGGACCATCTGCATCAAGACCCATGAGAGCGGGCAGAAGGAGATCGAAGCCTTCGACGCCGCCATCCTGCTCATCCGCAACCCCTACAAGGCACTCATGGCGGAGTTCAACCGCAAGTACGGCGGCCACATAGGCTTTGCGGCGCATGCGCACTGGAAGGGCAAAGGTAGGGCCTGGGGAGGGGGCGGGGCCTTGGGGGGCTGGCCTGGGAGGGAGGGGCGGGGTTCGGGAGGTGGAAGTCACCCTCCTAGTCCCTGTGTCTGCTGCTTACCCTGCTCCCGCCCAGGAGGGTCATGTCTCACTGCCCGCCACGCCCACAAGCGACAGCCTCTGAGCCCGGCTGTCGCAAGCATGGTGGTTAAGCTTGCAGGCTCTGCTGCTAGACGTGCCAGGCTCAAGTCCATGCCAACCACTTCCTGGAACAGCCCCTTCCTCTCTCTGAGCCTTGCATTGTGCCATCTATAAGGCAGGTTGATAAAAGCGTGCGGATGTGGGAGGTTATTCCTTTTACAGACACTCAGCGGGTGTGACTCTCGCTGTGGAGAGACTGATGCGGCGTAGACTCAGGCAGGAGACCCGAATTCAGCTCCACACCAGTGGCTGTGTGTCGGGGAGATCCTGAGAGCTTAGGTACAGAACATCCTTTCAGCGAACCTTTCAACAGCCCTGGGTCTTGCCTCACGCCACAGAGCTTAGAAATGACAGTATTGGCCCCAAGAGCACCTGGGTGTGAGATTCCGCTCCGGCCCTTACGAGGTGAGAGAGGACGCCTGTGTGACGAACGTTTCAGCACAGAGTGGCCGTCCAGGGTAGTGGTCAGAGCTTAGAGGTGAGACCCAAATTCTGTCACCTTGAGTGTCTTTAAAATCCCCTATCAGCTACATGAGGATCTCTATCAAGTCTTGAGTATTTTGGAAATGGTTAACTTCTTCTTTTTGTGGTACTGAGGATTGAACCCAGGGCCTTTGCACTGAGCTACATCCTCAACCCCTCTTTAAATTTTGAGACAGGTTCCCATTAAGTCACCGAGTTGCCCAGGCTGGTTTCAAATTCAAGATCCTCCTGCCTCAGTCTCCCAGAGTGCTAGGATTGCAGGGCAAACCCAGCTAGAGGTCAACTTCTTAAACCCCCACAGTAATTCCTCCCATTGTATCCCTAGGACGACCCTAGTTCAGAGAAGTCAGGGAGCTTTGCGGGGTGGGGGTGTGCATTACACAGGTGAGTGGGTTCTGTGGGCAACAGGAAGGTATTCTCTGCTTAGACTGTCAGGAAGGCAGATTGCATGTAAAGTGCTCTTAGCACAGAGGCACATACATGTGGTGCACAAAGAAAATGGACACCAGGAGACTTTAGGATATGATGAAAATGCTTATGACCTGCACGGATAGAACAGAATTGTATCCACGTATCCAGACTCCGGCTTGTACACATTAATTATGTGCAGGTTTCTGCATACGGGTTACGCCTGGGTAAAGCTGGGTGGGAGGAGCTTTTCTGTGAAGTGGTGGAGTAGGGATTTGAACCCAAGATGGCTTGCTCCTGAGTCCATGCTGTTAAGCACTGTACTTTGATAATAGTTTACAGATGGTCCTCAACTTATAATGGGTCCTCAACTTATAATGATGGGGAGGCTTTATGAGGTGCAAAAGCATAACCATGCAACCATTCTGCTTTCTCTTTCAGTACTAGTCAAAAAATTATGTGATACTCCACACTTTATTAAAAATAGGCTTTTTGTTAGATGACATCAGCAATTGTGGCCTAATGTAAGCATCTGAAGCATGTTTAGGTAGGCTGGGCTTAAGCTGGGATGTTTGGTAGGTCAGGGGAATTCATTGTATTTGAGGTATCGGTGGCTGTGCATCAGCTGTTCCTGAGTCCCGGAAGGCCAGGAGGTGCTCTGTGGATGTGAGCTGCCCCCAGCTCATCCTCCTCAGAGACAGCGTAGCAGGCTGGCATCAGCTCCAGCCTCTACACTGATACTGCTGATGCGAACCCTTGCCCAGGCCTGAGCAGCTGAGCTCTGGCTTCCCAGCTCACTCAAGGGGATTTGTCCATCCCTCCCCGAGCCTTGCTCTTCCTCTTGGAGGGGTTGGAAGCTGGGCCGGATGACATTTGTTTATTCCCTGGAGGAAAGAGGCCACTGAATTATTTCTTTGTAGAACAGCTGAGAATGAGCACTGGCCAGAGCCAGGTGGAGACATCACTGAATGTCGGTGGCAGCAGAGCGTCACAGGAGCAGACTCTGCTCACCAGAGCTGGGAAGAACTTGGGGATCACTGAACCCCTGGTTCTCAGCCTGAGCTGCACATTTGACTCCCCAGTGCCCAGTGCCCAGACTGCACCCCACCCATTGCCAGGGTGGAGCCAAGACATTCATATTTTTAAAATCTCAGCTCCTTCCAGAGAGTAGGTGGGGCTGAGAGCCTCAGATTCCCTGTTTATTAGTGGGGAAACGGAGGCTTAGAGGGAGTCAGAGTCTGCTAAGGTCACTTGGGCACTAGTGGCAAGACAGGCGCTAGGACCAGCCCTCCCAGCTCCCAGGCCTCCTGATGCCAGAGGGAAGAGGAAGGGGATTGACTCAGGAAGTTCATGGACACTGAGCATTTGCTACCTAAACTCCCCGATAACCAGGGGAGGCAAGAAAGGCTGCCACAAACTCAGTAGCATTCCACTGTACAGGTGAGCACACCATCCCAGGTAGGGGCAGGTCACTGGGCTATAGCCCTGGGCATAGACTGAGCTGGGGTCCAAACTTCAGCATTGACCACTGCACTCCTGCTCTTCCTTCCCCTGGGATGCTGCAGACTCCTGGTGTGCTCAGAGGTTCTCTCCTCCAGAGCCCCCTGCTTTGGCTTCAGACCTGTCTGCTGATTCCCAGGAGTCACCTCTCCTGTTTTGTCTTATTCAAGACAGCCAGGAGCTTTAAACCAGGGGGAGGAAGGAGTTGGGAAGGGCTGAACCAAGAGGCTGCAGGGCACATGGGGAAGATGGTCTACCACACTCACCTCTATGGGGGCCTGCAGTCCCACATTGGTCTGGGGCTGGGAGGCCTTTTGCCAGCACTCCTCCCAGGCCAGACCCAGGGCCCTTCAGAGCAGAGCCATCAGTGTCCACCCTGGCCATTCCTCTCACTGGCACCCACCTTCTGGATGCTCCTGGCCCTTGAGTTTGAGACCCTTGCTTTTGACTCCTCATCCCCTGGCAGCAGTGTTGCTGGTGAACTGATTAGAAATGCAAATTTTCAGGCTGCACCTGAGACCTATGGAATCAGAAACCCTGGCAGTGAGGGCCCCTGCTCCTTGCAACATGGCCCCCAGGTCTTCCGATGAGCACTCCAGCGGAGGTGCCACTGAGTAGTAACCCTCACTACTCAAAGTGCAGCCAGAGGACCAGCTGCACAGATGCCAGGTGTCCAGCAAGGCCCAGCCCAGGCTCAGGAGAACAAAATCTGCATTTTGACCAGATTTCTCAGGGGCTTTGGGTGCACTTGAAAGTCTGAGAATTGCTGCTCTCGGATGCCCTTGGTGTGGGGTGGGAGGGTCACCCTAGGACAGCAGGGGCCACTCAGCCATTGAGCATGTCCACCCCACCTTGCCCTTGTCTCCTTTCCAATTACAGCTGAGTCGAGGCTCCCATGCCCCCCCCACACCTTTGGTTCCATAACATTAATTTTATAATCTCCGTGGAGTGAGTCCAAAGCAAAATTTTATGTGATATGATTACACAAGGTGAATTGTCCTGGATCTGTTTAATGAAACAGATACTGTATTTAATGATTCCATGGGGAACTAAGTACAGTGAAGCCATTAATCAGGACTTGGTTTCTTCGGTCCACAAGAAGATGGAGCGGCAGAGACTGGCCAGCTGTGCCCAGCCAGGCACACCTGTGAGGCAGTTCAGGCTGAGGCGGGGCTCGTTACCTGTGTTCCATAGCCCTGTGTATCTTTATTACTGGATGTGTGGGCAGTGATCAATTACCAGGAATCCTGAGCTGATTGAGGGCTTTGCGTTCAATTTTTCTTCTTCTTCTTTCCGATGCAGTATTTTAGGAGCTTTGTCATAGGAGGGGGTGGACTGGGCAAATATCTGCTGCCAGAACAGGTTGGGTATCTGTGGTGCTTTGGGAGGAAGCGCAGAACAATGTGGTAGGGCCCATGGGACATCACAGGAGATGCCCCGAAGAGGGAGCATCAGCACAAATAATCACAACAGTGACCAACATGTATTCAGCTCCTCCTGCATCCCTGGCACCTTCCCAGGACTTCTGCACTTCTTACACTCTGTCTGCACACAGGTGTTATCAACATCGCCAGTTTGCAGATGGGTAAACTGAGGCCCGAGGAGATCAAATGAAATCTCCAAAGTCACACAGCTCATGTGGAGAGGAGCTGGGTCTTGAACCTGGGCAATTGGACTGCAAAGTTATCTGTGTACGGACCTTGTGTATCAGGGAGCAGTCTGAAGGTGAAGGACACAGCAGGTAGACCAGGAAGCTGCTCTGGACCCAGAGCAAAAGAGGGCGTCAGCTGAACGAGTCACCAGCTCTTACGGAGTTCATTGGCAGGGTGGCTCCCTGGTCAGTATGTGCTAGTCATGGGTTTCAATTCCGCCTGGGACATCCCCTATTGCCTTGGCCAACTGGTTCATGTCTCTGAGCCTCCTTTTCCCTGCATCTGAAACGGTGCTAGCAATTCTTACCCTCCAGGTCTCTCCTCTCCTCTCCCCTCCCCTCCCCCTGGCCCTCCCCTTCTCCTCTTCTTCCTCCTCCTCCTCCTCCTCTTCTTCCTCTCTCTCTCTCTCTCTCTCTGTCATTTTTACATTATTACCAATCGAACCTCACTGAGCCACATCCCCAGCCCTTAAAAAAATACCTTTTAAACGTTACATTATTTTGAGACAGGGTCTCTGAGTAGCCCAGGCTGGGCTCAAACTTGGGATCCTCCTGCTTCAGCCTCCCAGAGTGCTGGGATTACAGGCAAGTGACACCACACCTGGCTCTCCAGGCTTCTTGAGAGCTCAGAATGAGATCACAAATAAAGAGCCCAGCATAGCTCCTGACACCCAGTACGTGCTCAGGCAGCATACATTCCCAATCTGCTCCCCAGATTGAGGAGCCTGGTGCCCCGCAGAAGTGTGCAGTCAGCAACAACACTATATCATCTTCATCCCACTGCATCCAAGGCCAGGCATGTGGGGTGACCTAGGGGACCCCAACCATCATGCAGCCCAGCCCTCCCTCTTCCTTAGGGCCACTCTGCAACTGTCGTTTGGCAACACCAGAGATGGCCAGCTTCATGGTGCTGGGTGACAGATGCCACCCGCATCACCTGGGCTTCTCCCAGGAGCATTAGCAGCTTTCCGAATCTCCAGGGATGCTGCAAGGTGACTCGGTCATTGGGAAATTCTGAAAAAGTAAAACAGACCATCCGCATACTAGATTTTGCCTAATCACCCAGATACATCTGGTCTTAACCCATTATAACAGTACGGGCTCAATTAGGGACATTGTAAATAATCTATTTTGAGAATAAAAAATCTCCTGTCATCACATAAATATTGCCCAAGAACCCATGGGGTTCCAGGACAGCCTGGGGAGCAGGAGCTCACACAGATTCTGATGTATTCTTCAAAGAAGAGAGGCCCTTCATCACATCGCAATTTGGTGGTTGGGAATTTCAATTTAGCTCAGCAGCCTTTCGTGAAGCCCCTGCTGAGGGAAGCAGTGGAGGAAGTGGGGATAGGGCTGCTGGTGCCTGGGAAGATCAGGGCCTGGAATGGGGCAAGCTTGATCCGGATGGTGCCTCCGGCCCTGTGACCTTCAGCAGGTTCCTGCAGCTCTCTGAGCCTCAATTTCCTCCCTAACGAAGAGTGAACAGTAGTTCTTTCCCTCACTCAGCCAGGGATTATGTTTTTATTTTAAAGAACTCCCCAGGCTACCTTGGGGCCCCCTGTTGTCCTCTGGTCTCAGTTGAGAGCTTTGAGGACCTACCCTGCCTCCCTTCAGATGGGGCTCAGAATTGAGGCTGTGATTCCTTTGTTGTGTTCCCTGCATCCTCCTGGTCCCCCTTCTGCAGTTACCCCACAGCGGTTCTCTGGCCTGGCTGCCTCCCTCTTTGAGGTCCTCACCAAGGCTCCCCGGGGAATTTCTTATGTTCCCTGTGACCTGGTCAGACAGTCCAAGCATCCCCTTCCCATCTGGGTGACATCCATCCTGCGGTTTCACCATGGTGAGGTAACGGACAGCAGAAAGGAAGACAGGCAGTGTGGGTAGGGAGTCGTGGCACAGTGTAGTCGGTGCTGTGGGCTTTAGGGGGGAGGAGAGAGGGTTCAAACCCAAGAGGAGGCACCTGCCTGAGCCCGGGGAAGCCGGAGAAGGTGGCATCTTACCTGAGAACAGATTAGCAGCAGTAGCAATAAGAGCCTACTGGGTGCAAGTCACCATGCTGACGACTTCATGTGCTGTGCGGCTTACTCTGAATAACAGCCCTGTGGTTACCCCATGAATAGGCACTAGCACAGGATGCCTTGGTAATTAAAAACCCAGATCTTGAAGTCAGACTGCCTAGGTTCAAACCCCGGCCCTGCTAGCTAGCTGAATGACCCTGGCAGCTTACTGAACCTGTCTGTCCTTCAGTTTCTTCTTCTGTTAAATGAGGGTAATGATGATACCGACCTCACGTGATTGTGAGGATTAAGTGGAATGAAGAGATATATTAATACAGTTATTAACATGTAATTATAATGTAATATAGTTATATACCTATCATATATCATTTACATATTAGTATACCTTATGTAATATGTAGTGTACAATAATATACTTTATATTTTTATATAATATAGAGTATAATATATAAAATATATGTGATTTTTATATCACACATGGTATACTATATAATTTATATAATTATGTGTATCACCTACATCTGTTTATATATAATTACAGTGCAGTGGACACTCACTATTATAGGTTTATATATTAATCCAAAATGAGTATAAATACATATACCTGCATATTACGTGTCTATATTGCAGTAGCATACATGTCTATAGCGGGCTCTGCTTGGCTTGTAGTAAGCACAGCGGGGCGAGAGGCTGTCCCGGAGACAGATAGGCTGGAAGTGAGGGGTGTACTGTCCCTGCTATACCCCTGCGAGGCGCGGGCGGGCCGTGCAGTCGCGGGGAGCAAAGGTCGCTGTCCCAGGCTGACCCTCTCTCCTCCCCGCAGAGTGGCCGGAGTTCGTGCGCAACTACGCCCCCTGGTGGGCCACGCACACGCTGGACTGGCTCAAGTTTGGCAGGAAGGTGTTGGTGGTGCACTTCGAGGACCTGAAGCAGGACCTCTTCGCGCAGCTGGGCCGCATGGTCAGCCTGCTGGGCGTGGCCGTCAGGGAGGACCGGCTGCTGTGCGTGGAGAGCCAGAAGGATGGGAACTTCAAGCGCTCGGGGCTGCGCAAGCTCGAGTACGACCCGTACACGGCCGACATGCAGAAGAGCATCTCGGCCTACATCAAGCTGGTGGACGAGGCCCTCAAGGGGCGCAACCTCACGGGCGTGCCCGACGACTACTATCCGAGATGATGTCGCGGTGCGGGGGAGGGGTGGGAGCCCTCAACACGCTCTGGTGACCCCCCTGACCTGTTCTGTCTTTGGTTTGGGGACCATCCATCCCCCTGGCTGCTGTGGCCTTCAGCGAGTTTCCTGCATGATAAGGAGACCCGAGGGAAGAGCTGTCCGGGCGTGCCCACCTGCTCTCCACCGCTTCCCCTGGGAGACATGGGCGACCTGGTTTGGAGAGTTCCGGGCACATGGACCCTTTTCTCACCCACACCCACCTGCCCCTGTGTCCCTGTCTCCCCCACTCTGGGCTCCCCTGGTGGGAGAGAGGACTTCTTATAGTCACGGAGACATGCTGGGCCCTGCCTGCCCTGGGCAGTAGTTGTTGAGGACCTGATGCCACCCCGTGGGCTGAGATCTCCCACCCCTTTCCTTCTCTGCTCAGGAAGCCCTGGCACTGTCTCCCTCTTAAGCCACCCTCTGTTGGGAAGAAAGCTTGCTGGACCTGTCCTCAGGGCCCTGGGTGTGTGACACTCCGGGTAGAGTCGGGAGACAGTGGTGCTCACAGTAGGTGGACAGCCACCACCTGGGGTCCCTGGCACCGTAAACCCATACCCTAGCCACACTGCAGCCAAAGAGCCAGCTGGTGGCCTTTGCACTCTAGGGTTCCAATCCTGCCCTGTTCTTCCCCGGCTGTGTCTAGGAGGTGATGTTGGAGGTCCTTTATCCCACTCCCAGGGTTCCTTGAGCAGCATCAGCTAACCCAACAGGATGCCATGCCCAGAATCTAGGTAGGCGTTAGCGGCCCCAGGGACACATCTGTCCACTGTGGCCCAACACATCCATATTACACTCCCGTCCTGACCCCTGCCAGTGGGTCCTTTGCTGAGCAGCTGAGAGAGCATGAGTGCTCCAAATCAGGCGGAGCCATTCCGTACCCACAAGAGACTCCCGCCACCTGCCCAGACTACCAGCCTCCATTCGCTCAGAGCTCAACAGGACCAGCTTCCCCTGAGGGTCCTTTAAGGAATGGGGGTGACCAACGGCTCATCGTTTCCATTGTAACGCTGCTCTCTTGATGCTGAGACACCAAACCAAAGGATTTCTGAGGACCTGAGTCACTGATCGTCTGTTTTAAAACACTAATCCAGGACCCCTTCTCTTTCCAGACCTGGGATCCCAGTGGCTTGACACCCAGCCCACGTTTGCACCATCCCATCCTGTAGATGCAAAAGCCATAGGTCACAGCCTCTTTGCTCTTCTGTCTGGAGTGCCCCCCAAGTCCCTCTGCAACCTTGGGGTGCAAGTAAAGGCTCATCCCGAAAGAGCAAAGGGACTATGGAGAAGGCAAGTGAAAAGAATATATTTTTTTAAGAGGAATATGACTAATACATTCCTCCCCCTTAACCCCTGGCCACGCAAAGAGAAGGCACAAGGATTGGACCTGTGCTATCCTTCTCCAACTTCCCCCATCTATAGGATTTTGGCCACCCCATGGCTCAGCCAGGGGGCTCTGAATGTATTTTATACCTTGTTTCTTTCCCCCAGCTGATTTCTAGTCTTTCACAAAGCAGGAGAGGGCTTGGCCTCCCCTCTCACATGGAAGCCAGCTCTCTCTGGAAGACTCTTGGTCCAAGACCTGGGCCAGTTCTTTGCTGGTGGCCCCCTCTGGCCACAGGCTTGTGTCTGAAGATTCCTCAGGTCAACACTATCATTAAATTCAAGTTTTGTTGATAATTCTACCATGTGGTGGAGTGTTATGTACGGGGAATTCACAAAGGGGATGTTTTCTCTGGGGGGGATGTATGTGTGTGCATGTGCGTGTGTGTGTGTGTGTTGGATATGTCTGGAGGTAGAGCTGTGTGTAATTGCTTCTGCGTCTGTCTGTCTCTGGCATAGCTCCCTGTGAGGAGGAACTCTGTACCTCTGTATCAAATCATGTCTGTGTTGTGAGACCATATTTCCCCATGGGTGTGGTGATCAGCCCATTCTTAATGCATCTGTGTGGAATTGTGTGTAGATAGAGGGAAGTGATTGGTGTGGTTTACCCAAGTATGAGAAGCTGTCAGTCTGTTTTGGGAGGAGCTGCCTTCTGCACATTCCTTTTGTCCTTGGTAACTGTAAGGGATGTGGGTGGACATGTGGGCTGGAAGAGACAGCCACAATAAGTGTCCTTGTTTGGGTTTGTGCAAGGGTATGGAAGAAGTCATCTATGGAAGGTATCCATTCTGCATATATTTGTGTGTGAGTGTGTGTGACAGAGAGAGAGATGCTGAGCGTGTGCTATGCACGTTTTGGCAGTAGGGAAGCCAGTGAGAATACAAGAGCATTGAGAGGCCCCTCTGTTCCCTGGAGTGTGTGGTGGTAGCAGTGGGGGCTTAGTCTCCATCTCCAAACCTCTGACTACAGCTGAGGGGAGACCCTGGGTTCGCTCCTCTCTCACTGGAGAGGTTTCTGCAGAGAGGTACTGGTGCCCGGACCATTTCCCAGCCCAAGGGAGGAAGAAGGTTTTAGGCCCCACCATGTGGGTGGTAAGGGTGGGGGAGGAGCAGGGACAGGCAGAAGAGAGAGGGAAGGGCTTCTCCTCATCCAGAGGGAGAGCTCAGGGCTCAGGGTCCTGGCATCATGAGATAAGGAGGGGAAGAAAGACCTCAAGGAGAGATGGGACGTGGAGATGTGCACTGGCTCACGGAAACCATCCTGTGATGGCTGATTGAGCGCTGGTCTGGGCTCCGGCTGCCCTCTGATCCCTGGTCACACACAGCCCAGTCCTAGACCCTTGAACCCTGATCACAGACTGATCTCCGATCCTGGACATATACTGACCCATGATCCTCGTCTCGCACTGATCTTTTCTCCAAACTCCACATTGACTGGGTCCCGACTCTGGTTCCCAGCACGCTGAGCCCTGATCCTGGTTGTTTATTACACTCCAACCTGGGCCCTAGGCTGAGCCTCAACCTGCCCCAGAACAAATGCTGATAGTGTCTCTTGACAGAGTCCTAATCTTTGTCTCCTGAGCTCTGATTCTGGCCACAAACTGAGCCCCATCCTACCCTGGAGGAGCCCTGGCCTTGATCATTCTGAGCCCTGGCCTGGTCTCAGACCAAACCTTGACTCTGTGCCAGGCTGAGCCCTGAACCAATGTGCCAATTTCCTTTTCCCTCTCTAAATATCACCTGTGTAACCAAGTTCTCCCAGCTGGAAATGAGGGAACCACAAAGCACCCAGCTTTCCTGGATCCTCTCCAGATCTCATAGATTCTACACCATATCCAGCTGCTTACTCCTCCTCACCGCAATTGCCAGTGAGAGGGGGCAGCTGGTGTAAAACCTCTCTGGGCCAAAGGTGGGGCTGAAACGGACAGTTTGCAACTCTGTCTTTGGCTAACATTCGCCCTTTGTACCACACTTCATTGTCTGCAACCAAATCTTTGTATTTTAGAGCTCAGAAAGAACTGATTCATTCAACACATGTTTGTTAAGCACCTATTGAAAACCCTAGGCCCTAGTTCCTTGTTCAGGGACTGAAAGAGGGACAGTCTCCATTCCTGCAGTTTACGTTTGACTAGGTAGAGAGCAGATATCTTTAGAATGATAGAAAGGTTCTGCAGAGATGGTAATGGGACAAAGAAGGTAAGGGTGGAGGTTGTGGGCCATTCCTCACCATCCCCATGAGGTAGGTGGAAGGGAGATGGTTAGTTCTTTCTATACGGGGAACAAAGTGTGCAGTAAGTAGCCCAAGATGCAGAGATTTGTTGCAGAGCTGAGGCCGCTGCCCTTTCCTTCGAGGGCCTAAGGGTCCATTCCATGTGCAGAAAAGAACAGGAAGAAAAGTTATAGATCGCAGCGGTCCCCAGTGCAGGTGACAAGCCTGGCCTGGGTGCTGAGACACCAGACTCTCACCCCACTGTGCCCTTATTGTGGGCCCAGGACTGCAGAGCAAGCAGGGCTCAGTATCTGCAGATTGCAGATTCATTCCCGAGTTCTCCAAAGACCCTGGAGGCGGCGGCGAATGTCTGCAGTGGACAGTGTGGGAAGGGAGAGGAGCAAAGGCAACGGGGGTGCCCAGAGGGGGGCACACCCCGTGCGGATCCATCACCTTCCAGAGATCCAGCCCTGGTCCCTTGCCCTTCTCTCTTGCATTGCTGTCTTTCTCTTCCCACCCCTCCTCTCTTTCTGTTTTTCTTTACCCTGCCTCCTGCTCTCAATCTCCTTCTTTATGGTCGAATTTCTCCAGCTGCTCAGGAGCCACTTTTCTTTGTTGTCTTTCTCCACACTTGCTCTGTTCTCTCCTCACATCCTCTCTCCCTGTTCCCATCATCTCCGCTTTTTCTCCTTCTTGATTGCTGCCTAGGTTTCTGCAAGTGTCTCTCCTTCTCCACCTCTTGATCTCTGAGCTCTCTGTCTCTTTCTCCTTCTCATTCTCCCCCCACTCCCATCCCTGCTTGCCTCTCCCATCTCCTCATCCTGGAGAGTGGGGGTGACTCTGCAGGATCCAGACACAGTGAGACAAATGGTACCCGGGCTGGTAACCAAGGAAGTGGTTTCCTTAGCAACAGAATCTGCAGGCACGTGCTGCAATGGCCTGTCCCCTTCGCTGCTACAGTAAGGAGAAAGAGAAAGAGAATGGATGGTGTGAGGGTGGGGGGAGATAAACTTGGAGACAGTTACACCCTACTGTAGTGACCCTCAGAAGAGGGGACAGTGGTCTGACACTCGCTCTATATCTCTTACTTTAGGGACACTCAAAAGTACAAGAGTTGGGATCAGAAATGGTCATGTAAAATAGGAGAGAACAGGAGGTAGGACCCACAGGACTTAGTGACAGACAGGTTGGATGTAGGAAGGAAGAAGAGACAAAAAAAGGTAAATGACCCCAAGATGCTGGCCGGGGCAGCTCCCGGGAGGGGGTTTCCTTTGCGACTGAGAAACCAGGACAGAGGGGTGGGTGAGGGTGGGGGAGAAGTTAAGGAGATATAGCTCCCTGTCCCCCAAAATTCCTCGAACAAGAGCAGCCTTAAGGGTGGGAGAGACTCAGAGAAGTTAAGTAATTTGCTTTAGGACACAAAAGTCAGTGACATTCTAGGCTGGGAATGATCCAGAGCCTGTCTGGAAGGTGGAAGAGAAAGAAGGGGATAGAAAATGGAGAGACACGAAGGAAGAGAGAGATTTAAATCATTGATCTGGCACTTTTTCCTACTGGGAAAACAAAAATATGTTCAATTTTAGAGAAATGAGAAAGGAGGAGGAGGGAGACAAAAGCGCCCTACTGTATGATAGCTTCTGTGGCTATAAATAACTGTCCCCAAAGGAAACATCTGGCAAGATGCATTCCCTTCCAGAGTGAAGAACTGCGCCCTGGTCCATGTTGATATTTAAATGACTCAGAGGGGTGTGGGAGGCTGGGGGCCAAAGGGCAGAAAGTGGATCAACGTAACATGGAAACCTGGCTCTCCTTTCCCCAAAAAGCAATAAAACGGGCAGGCAAGGAGAGCTGTAAATCTGGATGATGATAATATCCGTCCTCGCAAAAGCAGTATGTTTATTTATCATGTTTGTGGGTTTACTATTTCTCCTCAAATTTACAGTCTGCAATCTGCCCGGGTGCAAGGGGAGAGACACCGAAATGAGGCCAAACCCAGCAGAATGTGGAGGAGAAAGAAATGATAAAATATGTATCCCCTTGCCCCACTCCCACCCCCTGGCTGCCTTAAATCCAATTTCAAACAAAGGTGGTGATTTATCCAAGCAGGGCCTTGCAGCTCCTTTTCAGGCCTCCAACAGCTAATTGAAATGAATAGTCATTACAGAATGGAATGTGTTGCAGCAAAATGGTATTTGCACTTTCTAGAATCATTTGCTAAACAATTATGGGAATGGATAGTCAGCTGAGAGGGAGAGAGAGGGTAGCACTTGATGGTGACCAGATTTCTGTGCACCCTCAAATGGAGGACAAGAGGGGAGAGAGAAATTCCCTTCTGAGACAGGAGTTAGGCACCCGACCCAGAGCACAGTTACCTGGGCTTCTGGAACTTGGCGTGCCCAGGGTTAGCTCAGACCTTTGAAATCAGATGTTCCAAAGCTCTCAGGTATAGGAACCACTGCAGCAAGAGGGGCTGGGAGTGACCCTGTGCGCTTAGCGTGAAGCGAGCTCTGTACTGTTGACCTGTTGATCATTACCCGCCCCAAGCATCGTCACACCAGGAGAGGACAGGATTGTCACCATCCCATGCCTTTTCATGCATTATGATCCATGTGTCTCTCAAACTAACTCAATACCTGGCACATAGTAAGTGCTAGGTAAATGCCTATTGATTTTCTCAAGAAGTGAATCTTGAATTTCACTTTTTAACAGATATTGAGAGAAGAGCCACAGTCACCAGCCAAAGCTGGCTTGAGTTAAGTCCCTTAGCAGCCCTGAACTTTATCTCCAGCAAGCCTGAATTATTTTCTAT